GCTTGCTGGGGTGCCCCCAAAAGCAGAGTGGGGCACACAACCCCGCACTCCCGGGCACCATCCCTCTGCCTGCCCCGGGGGGCTTCAGGGGGGACGAGGAGAGGGACAACCAGTCTCCAGCTCACCCTGCCAGCATTTGGCTCTTGGGGGTATTTTCCCATCATATCCAACGTCGCCAGCTCTCGTGCCAGGTGGGATGAAGCTCTGGGTTTGGGACATGTCATGCCAGTGCCGCGGTCCCACAGAGCCATGGCAGCACCCAACGCTCTCCCCTGCCGCAGTAACACCGAGGTTTTTTGCGCTGTGCCAATAGCTACGCTCCTTCTCTTTTGGTACCAACTCCCCCTTCTCGGCTCCCTCCCCCCAACATTTCTTAGAAAAATAAGATTGTGCTTATTTATAAAATAATAATAATTTTTTTTTTTTTAAGAAAAGTTTCCAGTTAAAAAAAGGTGGTGTATCAAAATACGGCGCAACTTTGGCTGTCAAATGGCTAAACTCTAATTAAAAATATCGACTAAAAAGGCATTGTGCTGTGAGTATTAGCTGCTGTAATGCTTTACCCTCCGGTACCGATGGCAAATATCACACCTGGGCAGGTCAGCTTCCCTGGGACACCCTCAGAAGGTGCCCTTGGCTTTTTCCAGCACATCACCATCATCCTTTGGCAGAACTATTCCAAACTGTTAAGAGACTTACGAGACACATGAAAAGCCTTGGTAAAACACAACGGAGGCTGCGCCGGGAAGAGCCACAATTCCAACGCGGTTGCATACATATTCTTCTCGAGAGGAAAGTCTGTTTTGTCACCTTAGTGCTTAGAAAAAAATACACTTGTTTATAGGGTTCAGTAAAGAAGAGAGGCAGATCCTTTGTATAAAAGGTATTTTAGAGCGGAAGTAAAATGCAAATGGGTCTGTAGGATCCAGACATATATAAACATACGTACCTCGATATATTTATATATGTAATCTCTAGATACTCAAAGTTTGGGATGCAGTATTGCAGCATCCTTAGCGGTGACCTATTCTTTTCCATTCTCCTCTGCTTTTGGTTTGCTTGGGTGGGTCTTTTTGTCTCCCAAAAAAGAAAAAAAAAAAAAAAAAGAAAAAAACCAAGCTGCCAAGGGCTCCGAGAGCTCCCAGCCGCCTTGCTGGGACCGCTCTGGTGTCTTTTGGAAGACCGAGGCTGATGCTCTGCCCCAGCAGCTGCTGGCCGTGCCTTCCTCCACTGTCTGTCACCCATGTCCGGAGACCCCGGAGACCCCCAGCTCATTATTGCTTAATTCTCCCTTCCCATACTGGCCTTTAGGGTATTTACATTTCTTTGGCTTGACTCGAACTCAACGGTCTGGCACTTTTTCTCTGGCGCCAGCTGCCACCAAGCCACCGCCAGAGCCGCTGGCAGTGCTGAGGATGGGGACAAGGAGGAGCAGAGGCCACCTCGCCATGGGAAAACACGGATCGGCTTCTGCTAGATGAAACGAGTCGCGCTTCCCCCAGCCGAAACCAGCCAGCTTGCGTTTGGCACAAACTCATCCGGAGGAGAAAGGATGTCGGGGAACCGCCGGTGGGACTCCGCCGTGCCCGGGGGTCTCCATCCCACCCGCTGTCGGAAGCCATCCTCCGAGCGCAACGCTTTCCGCGGCCTCGGTTTGCGGGGAGCGGGACGGGGCGGGGAAAACAGGCGACGTCGACGGCATCCCCGTGGCGCTCAGACCACGAACTCGGGGACTTCGTCGTGGGTGAGATCCAAGGAGAAGTATTTGCTGGTTCTTTTGACGGGGAAGGTCTCCTGGATGTTGATGCACTGCTGGGCCAAGCAGCCGTTGCAGTAGAGCCCTTCCTCCTCCAGCCCGTGGGCACAGCCGAAGGTGTAGCTCTGCGCCGTGTCCTGGCAGAGGTTGGCCAACTGCAAGAAGTCCTTCTGGTAGAGCCGAATGTCATCCAGGCTCAGGCTGTGCCGATCCGTCGACGTCTTCGGTTTCCTGCACGTCGTCTGGGCAAAGCAGAGAGGTGGGGGCTCAGGAGCTGCCAGGGAGCCGAGGGGAGGGGAGGGTGAGGGAGAGCCCCACGCCCGGTGCCAGCAGGGTTTTGGGTTTCCCCAAAGCTCCGCCAACGCTCCGTACCTGGGGTAAGGAGTCGGTGCTCTGCCCCCGCAGCTTCACCACCGTCTCTGAGGAGCTGGAGGTGGAGGAGCTGATCTCCTTCACGATAAGCCCTGCGGGGGGGAGAGAGGAAGAGGAGGGCGGTGAAGGTTATTTCGAGGCTTCGCAGCTCTCTCGGGATCCCTGCCTGCTGCCCTTGGGGGTCTGCCCTTGCTTCAGGGTGAAGGCACCCTCTGTTCAACGGGGCCCCAATGGCTTTGCTTGCAACCAGTATTCCTACAAAGCATCCCAAATTTGCACTGGAACAGCAGCCCCAGGGAGCCTGGCACCACCAAGATCTTCCAGTGGACCCAGCGTGGAGCTGGCAATGCAGGTGGCTCTCTGGGTGCAGGCACAGCCTGGAGAAGCCAGGCTCACATGTGTGATAACAGGACCCGTGCTCATGGAAACAAGCGAGGGGTTGTCATGAAAACAAGAGCAGGGGCCAGCAACTGGGAACATCACTGAAACCACATCCGTTGCCTGTGGGAAACTCCTGCTGTCGTCCCCTGGTATCTACAAATAACCCCGTGTGCCTGGGCACAGCCCCCCGTGCTACAGGGCAGTGGCATGGAGCAACAGCCTGCTCCAAGGAAAACCTGCACCTTTCATAGAACCATAGAATGGTTCGAGTTGGAAGGGACCTTCAAGATCATCCAGTTCCAAACCCACTGCCAGGGACACCCTCCACTACACCAGGTTGCCCAAAGCCTCATCCAACCTGGCCTTGAACACTTCCAGGGATGGGACAGCCACAACTTCTCTGGGCAACCTGGTCCACTGCCTCACCACCCTCAATGTAAAAAATTTCTTCCTTATTTCCAATCTAAATCTCCCCTCTTTCAGTTTAAAGCCATCACCCCTTGTCCTGTCACTACACGCCCTTGCAAAAAGTCCCTCTCCAGCTTTCCTGTAGGCCCCCTTTAGGTACTGGAAGGCTGCTATAAGATCACCCTGGAGCCTTCTCTTCTCCAGGCTGAACAGCCCCAACTCTCTCAGCCTGTCTCCATAGCAGAGGTGCTCCAGCCCTCGGATCATCTTTGTGGCCTGCTCTGGACTCTCTCCAGCAGCTCCATGTCCTTCTGATGTTGGGGACCCCAGAGCTGAACACAGCACTGCAGGGGGGGTCTCATGAGATCAGAGCAGAGGGGCAGAATCCCCTCCCTGGACCTGCTGCCCACGCTGCTTTGGATGCAGCCCAGGACACGGTTGGCTTTCTGGGCTGCCAGCGCACATTGCCAGCTCATGTTGAGCTTCTCATCAACCAGCACCCCCAAGTCCTTCTCCTCAGGGCTGCTCTCAATCCATTCTCCGCCCAGCCTGGACTTGTGCTTGGGATTGCCCCGACCCACGTGCTGGACCTTGCACTTGGCCTTGTTGAACTTCATGAGGTTCTCACAGGCCCACCTCTCCAGCCTGGGGAACTCCTTTTTACAGCTTCACCAAATTTACCCCATCCCTCCTTCGACCCACTGGGCAAACAGCTTTTCCCAGTGTCCCAAACGGACTCCCCGGGCTAGTTCCGCTCTGCCAAGCACCGATGGTGTGACTTGCACTGGGGAATTGGAAATAAAAGCAGGTGCCGCCTTACCCGAGTGCCCGTTGAACTTGCGCGACAGCAGCATGTCCTCCGTGATGTAGACACACATGTCGGGGCTCACCTCCATCTCGCCAGCCTGCTCCAGCTCCCGGGGGTCATCCACCAGCATCTCAATCTCTGCAGGCCAGGAGGAGGAGGTGGGGCGGGTCACTGACGTGCACCTTCAGAGCACCCTCCAACCCCAAGCACCCGGTGGGACACAAGCTGAAGAATCATAGAATCCTAGAATGGTTTGGGTTGGAAGGGGCCTTCCAGATCACCCAGTTCCAAGCCCCCTGCCATGGGCAGGGACATCCTCCACTACACCAGGTTGCTCAAAGCCTCATGCAAGAAGCTCGTATTTGGGACAGTTGGTGTCTCACCGTCATCCTGGGAGTCCTCCTCCAGCCGGTCCTTCCCACCGCTCTCCACTCCAGAGGTGTGGGAGCTGCCGTGGCTGGGCATGGAGCTGCAGGGCTTCAGTTTGCGGTGGGGTCAGTTTGCGGTGGGCTCCAGCGCCCGGGAAACCGTCCTCAGGCCCCATCTCCCGGGGTTTGGGGTCAGTCTCGATGCCGGAGGTGTGAGAGCTGCTGTGGCTGGCGGTGGAGTGCCGGGAGAGGCGCTTGTGCCCGCCGCTGCCGCTGGCCCGCGAGCGCTTCTCCAGCTGCTCCATGTCCAGGTCGAGGGTGTCGCTGATGTAGGACTCGCGGTACTGCTTCTTCTCTGCGAGGCCAGCGGCACGCTGTCGGCACGCGGCAGCCTGCGCCCCAACCCCTTGGGAAGGGCATGGACTTCCCCAGCACCCAGCGGCACCCACGGGCACTGCTGTCACCCAAGCCCAGCCAGGTGGCACAGCAGGAGACAGCCCTGTCCCGGTGGCATTTGGGGATGGTGGGGTTGGGAGCCCTGGTGTGCTCTGTGCTGTCTCTCCAAAGGAGGAAGAGGAAGAAGAGGAGGAGGAAGAGGAAGAAGGGAAGAAGGAAAAGGAGGAAGAAGAGTAGGATGAAGATGAGGAGAAGGAAGAAGATGAAGAAGAGGAAGAAGATGATGAGGAAGAAGATGATGAGAAAGAAGATGAGGAAGAGGAGGAGGAAGAGGAGGAGGAAGAGGAGGAGAAAGAGGAGGAGCAAGAGGAGGAGCAAGAGGAGGAGGACAAGGAGGAGGAAGAAAAAGAGGAAGAGGAGGTGAAAGAAGAAGAGGAGGAAGAGGAGGAGAAAGAAGCAGAGGAGGAAGAGGAGAAGGAGGAGGAAGAGGAGATGGAAGAGGAGAAGGAAGAGGAAGAAGAGAAGGAAGAGGAGGAAGAGGATTAGGAAGAAGAGGAGGATTAAGATGATGAGGAGGAAGAAGAGGAAGAAGAGAAGAACAGGAGAAAGAAGAGGAAGAAGAAGAGGGAGAAGAGGAGGAAGAATAGGAGGAAGAAGAGGAGGAAGAAGAAGAGGAAGAAGAAGAGGAAGAAGAGGAGGAGGAAGAAGAGGAGGAGGAAGAAGCGGAGGAGGAGGAGGAGAAGGAGGAAGAAGAAGAAGAGGACGAGGAGAAGGAGGGGAAAGAGGAAGAGTAGCAAGAGGAGGAAGAGGAAGAAGATCTTATGCTTGCACGAGGGCTTTCTGGGCTGGGAGACGGGACATGGGGCACTGGGAAGCACTGCAGGGAGCAGGGCCAGGGGCTGCTGACACACGGTCAAGGGGGTCATGGGCACAGCCACCCCCGACACGCTCCCAGCCACGGGGCCAGTGCAAGGACCAGGCGCTTGGGCAGGGAGAAAAGCCGGGTGGGAGCCCGGCACTGGTGGGAGTTGCCCTCTGGGGTTGGGGGCACCTACCCTCGTTCTCCTCCAGCTTGCGGACCTGGCGCAGGACGGGCTGCAGGTTCATGTAGAGCCGGTGGCTGCTGCTGAGCAGGTGCAGGAGGTGGCGGGAGCGCAGCGGGCAGCCCGTGTAGTAGATGAGCTTCCTGGCCGAGGGCAGCCCGTCCGGCAGGATCTCAAACTTCTTGCCCTGTGTGGGAGAGCGGGAATCACAGAATGGTTTGGGTTGGAAGGGACCTTCAAGATCAACCAGTTCCAACTCCTCTGCCATGGGCAGGGACACCTTCCACTACACCAGGTTGCCCAAAGCCTCAACGAACCTGGCCTTGAGGGCCCGCCCACAGCTTCTCGGGGCACCCTGGTCCAGTTCCTCCCCATCCACAGAGGGAAGAATTCCTTCCTTATCTCTGATTGAAATCTCCCCTCTTTCAGTTTAAAGTCATTTCCCCTTGTGCTATCACTACACACCCTTGTCCAAAGCCCCTTTCCAGCTTTCCTGTAGCCCCTTTAGGTACTGGAAGGCTGCTGGAAGGTCTCCCTGGAGCCTTCTCTTCTCCAGGCTGAACAACTCCAACTCTCACAGCCTGTCTCCATAGCAGAGGTGCTCCAGCCCTCGGGTCATCTTCGTGGCCTCCTCTGGACGCGCTCCAGCAGCTCCATGTCCTTCTGATGTTGGGGACCCCAGCGCTGAACACAGCACTGCAGGGGGGGTCTCACGAGAGCAGAGCAGAGGGGCAGAATCCCCTCCCTGGACCTGCTGCCCACGCTGCTTTGGATGCAGCCCAGGACACGGTTGGCTTTCTGGGCTGCCAGCGCACATTGCCGGCTCATGTTGAGCTTCTCATCAACCAACACCCCCAAGTCCTTCTCCTCAGGGCTGCTCTCAATCCATTCTCTGCCCAGCCTGTACTTGGGATTGCCCCGACCCACGTGCAGGACCTTGCACTTGGCCCTTTTGACCTTCATGAGGTTTGCACAGACCCACCTCTCCAGCCTGTCCAGGTCCCTCTGGATGACTTCCCTTCAGCAAGCCCAGAGAGAAAAACACTCTAACTCTCACCCAGCCCTGCTGCAGTCAACCCATCAACCCCCCAGAGCTTGTAATCACCCTGCCTGAGGTCTGCCCACCACTGCCCCGTGCCCAAATCAGCGCCCAGGGTGACACGGGCAGAGACACCCTGCCTGGGGACGGCAGCACTCACCACGAACACCAGCTTCCCCACGTTTGTCCAGGGGAAGTCGTAGAGCAGCTGCTTTTCTTCGTCCAAGTTCTGGAAAAAGAGAAGAGGCAGTGGAGCTGGGGCTGGAGCGGGGGGGCATGGACCTGGCCCCTCGCCCCAGCTCAGCCGCCTACCTGGAAGATCTGGATGCCCCGTGTCGTCAGCCCCAGCGTCAGGGAAGCCTCCACTTCCCTTTTGTCCTACGGGGGGGAGAAATTTCCAGGGTTTTAAATACAGAATTTGCAACACAAAGTGGATAAATCTGCCCCCCACTGCCAGGTATCCTCCTCCGATCATCCCACCTCCCCGCACAGCAGCAACAGCCGCAGGCGGTAGGTGCCACGTTTAATACAGTATCATTGAGGTTGGAAATGACCTTTAAGATCACCCAGTCCAACTGGTTAATTAATAATACTTATATTAATATATTAATGATAACGATACACACACAGAGCACCCGGTTGCATCCTCTAACACCCTCCCTGGTACCTTCTCCCCCCTCATCGCCCAGAAACACCCCGGCTGAAGGGTCTGGAAAAGCAGCGTAACCTCAGAAAACGTGGCAGGACCTTCAGAAACAGAGCTGGGGCACTTGGATGCTTGAGCCCAACCTGCTCCTGCGCCGGCAGCCCATGCTCTCCCGAAGCCTTCTCCTCGTTAACTCCAGGATGCTACAAAGTGGTATGCCAAGCACCAGGCCCAGCAAACCAACCGCTTCGTCCCCAGGAGAAATACCCAGCACATATTTTTTAGGGAGGGGATACTGAAAAGTAAGATCTCGGAAATCAAGCTGTGTGGTGTGGTGGACACAGTGGAGGGAAGGGATGCCATCCAGAGGGACCTGGACAGGCTGGAGAGGTGGGCCTGTGAGAACCTCATGAAGTTCAACAAGGCCAAGTGCAAGGTCCTGCACGTGGGTCGGGGCAATCCCAAGCACAAGTCCAGGCTGGGCGGAGAATGGATTGAGAGCAGCCCTGAGGAGAAGGACTCGGGGTGTTGGTTGATGAGAAGCTCAACATGAGCCGGCAATTTGTGCTGGCAGCCCAGAAAGCCAACCGTGCCCTGGGCTGCAGCAGCAGCGTGGGCAGCAGGTCCAGGGAGGGGATTCTGCCCCTCTGCTCTGATCTCGTGAGACCCCCCTGCAGTGCTGCATTCAGCTCTGGGGTCCCCAACATCAGAAGGACATGGAGCTGTTGGAGCGGGTCCAGAGGAGGCCACGAAGATGATCCGAGGGCTGGAGCACCTCTGCTATGGAGACAGGCTGAGGGAGTTGGGGCTATTCAGCCTGGAGAAGAGAAGGCTCCAGGGAGACCTTCCAGCAGCCTTCCAGTACTTAAAGGGGCTATAGGAAAGGTGGAGAGGGGCTTTAGACAAGGGCGTATAGTGATAGGACAAGGGGGGATGGCTTTAAACCGAAAGAGGGGAGATTTAGATGGGATCTAAGGAAGAAATTTTTTATATTGAGGGTGGTGAGGCATTGGACCAGGTTGCCCAGAGAAGCTGTGGCTGGCCCCTCCCCCGACATGTTCAAAGCCAG